TCCCATAAAATATTCAAGAGATTACCGTTATACCTGAAAGTACATACATAATTCACCATTGTATGTGTTAGAGACCCAAATTTTGTCCTTTGGAATTTGTATATCTGCATGTTAGCATCCCTTTAGAGCAATAAAAAAGTATAAAAATAAACGTATTTATACGTTACCCGCATTCTACCGCTAGTCTATAAAAAAATGTATTAATACGTGTCCCGCGCTCTACTACCAGTCAACGTAAAACGTATAAATACGTTTCCCGCATACAATGTGTTAATTTTATATTTTTTGAAGATCACAGCAATATGCTAAAAATATTCTCTCTTTTTCCCCTGTGTGAATATATTGTTACTCTTGAAAAATATTTTCTCCAGGATTGAGTACTGAGGTGTACCCCTCCTCCCCACTCACACAAAAAAAGTGGACAGAAATGTAGTATACTCAACAATATCATTTTGAGATTTTGGAAACAAGTTATGTGTTATGTTCCTGCCTTATTTGGGTTGTTGTTGGACTAAATCTAAGACCAATTCCGTCTTGAAACTATTGCTTTTCCTTTTAAAACAAACAACAAATATATCTATCTATCTATCTATCTCCCCCCAGTAAGGAACCTAGTTTGGTATGCTTAAAATCACCATTTTTTTAAAAAATTCTTTTGTTATAGACGCAATTTCGCTTCTCATCCACTGTTGACATCTCTAAATTGTGAGCTTTCTGTTTGGTTGTATGTGTGTCAGTGTTTGAGTAAAACTGGAAAATGTCAGCTGTAATACTGATATATCATAATATGAAAAATTGAAAACATAAGATTGAAGAATAAAAATAAGGAACAAGAATGTTTCTTTTTGGTGGCTAAGTAGAAACATTTATGCCTAAAAGTATTGTCATAACAGCAGAGGCAAACCATTTCAAAATGAGACATATCACTGATTCAGCCCTAAAATGCATGAACAAAAGTGTGTGTTCTAACTATATCTTGCCTAAGTGCAACACTGTTTCAGTGGAAATATCTAGTCATAAGCTTAAAAAAAATTGTTTGAAATGCTTAATCCTGCAGATACCTAATGTGACCACTCTTTTGTGTTGACAGTATTGGTTTATACAATTCTTGTATTTGAAAGGAACCTGATCCCTTTAAATGAACATGGTGTGTATTGTTCTTACGGGACTATTTCAGTGGTGTAAATAATAAATACCTTTTCTTTTTTTAAAAAAAGAAGAAGCTGGAAAAAAGAGGTATGAGAGTAAGAATCCAGCTTTGTGAAGATTTTCATGTAGAATCCAATCTTATTTATTCATTTTTGGGAAAAAGTAATTTATATCTAAGGTTTAAAAAATGTGTAAGGTACAAAAGGAACAACATATTACAGTAGAAAGTTTGTTCCCCTCCCCATGGTAACTGAGTACCATTTTTTCGTGTATCCCTTCAGAGATATTGCCCAATCATGGGGGTGGAGGAGTGAAGAGAGAGATTGACTCCCTGTGTGTACAGATGGTAAAATAAGCATCATTACACCTCTGGCTTTTAACTTTATTTTGCAAAGTATTCCATTCCAGTACATTTGGAATTATCTTATTCCTTTTTACAGCTACATAGTATTCTTTTATACAGTAACTAGAGGCCCGGTGCACAATTTCATGCACGGGTGGAGTCCCTCGGCATGGCCTGCAGGGATTGGGTCAAAACCAGCAATCCAATGCCACTTGCCGCTCCTGCCTGCTGCTCCCGCTCATCCCGGCCCCATTGCGTCTGCCTCAGGCTCGCGCCCAGTCAGTCCTGATCTGGAGAGGCTCGCACCGCCCGCAGTGGTGCTCGCCAGCTGTGAGCCCTGCATCTGGCACCCGTCCCAAGGGCCAGGGGCGGGGGATGCAATCGGCCCTCCGGGCTGGGCGGTGGGACACCCTTGCTGGCCTAGGATCCTGATCTGTCCTGCTGACGTTCGTGCCAGTTGTCAGGAGTCACCTGGCAGCCACTTTTATATCATTTCTTGTGGAGTGTCTAGGGAGGGGAAGTGGCCACAGTGCCTGAGGCTGACTTCCAGGAGGCCGGCGGCGCTGTCGGGATTGTGCCGGTGGCACCGGTCTGTCGGTGCTGGCAGCACCCGTCCATTGGTGCTGGCAGCACCAGTCTGTTGGTGCCTGGTCCATTCTCTGGAGATTGGACCTGGAAGACTACTGAGCAAGGGAGTGGCTGCTGCCTAGCTGATGGGCCACCAGGACAGGTCGGTCAGCTGAGCAGCTCTCCCACTGTGGGAGCACACTGACCACCAGGGGGCAGCTCCTGCGTTGAGTGTGTGCCCCCTGGTGGTCAGTGTGCATCATAGTGACCCATTGACCAGTCATAACGGTCGCTTAGGCTTTTATATAGATAGATTTATTTAGTCCCCTATTGATGGGAATTTGGTGTGTTTCAAGTCTTTGTTCCTACAAATAACAACCTTGCGCATAGCTTATGATGTGCCGGATATTTGCCTTTTAAACTTTGATAGATGTTGACAAATTACACTTCCAAGGGACTGGTTCATCTTCCCACTCTGTATACCCTTCCCAGAACAGGCCTTTTTAAACTTCCTGGTATTTGTCAAACTGACAAGTAAACATTGTTATCTCAAAGAAAAATAAAAACCAAAAAAAGCTATCTCAGTGTATTTTTTTAAATTGAGGTGTAGGTAACATAAAGTAACCATTTAAAGTTAACAATACGGTGGCATTTAGTATATTTATAACTGTGCATTTATGTTTATCCATCTAGTTCCAAAACCATTCATCGCTCCAAAAAGAAACCATACACATTAAGCAGTTATTTCCCATTATCTTCAACTCCTGGCAATCACCTGCTTTCTGTCTGTATATTTGTCTATTCTGGAATCATACATATGTGACCTTTTGTACCATGTATCACGCTTCTTTCACTTAGCATGATGTCATTCACTGTAGCATGTCACTATTTCATTCCTTTTTATGGTTGAATAATATTCATTGTATGTATATAGTACAGTTTGTCCTTTTGTTGGGTAGACATTTGGGTTTTTATCTTTTGGTTATTGTGAAGATGTGTGTACATGTAGTTTTTGAACACCTGTTTTCATTTCTTTGAGGTATATATTTAGGAGTGTAATTGCTGAATCATATGATAATTCTGTGTTTAACTTTTCAAGGAAAAGTTAATTTGTAGTTTTAATTCACTTTTTAAAAATGAGGTCAAACATTATTTTCTAGACACTCACTAATGTATAAAGGATGGAAAGAGGGCTAAGATTATTTGCTTAGCTCTGTGCTGGGACTGAATTTATATGACTTTATATAATTGTCTTAATTACTTTGTTTTAAAATTTTTAAAGAATTTTCTTTAATGTAATATTTTTTTGAATTTTACTTTAAAATTTTTCATTATGGGGAACATTCCACATATAAAAGTAGAGACATATATGACACACATGACTGTATACTGATCTTCATTTAACCATCACTTAACTTAGACATTGTCAACTGATGGCCTGTCTCTATCTCTACCCCCATTCACTCCTCCCTTACTCACTTTAAAAAATATATTTTTAAAAAATTTATTTCAGAGAGGAAAGGAGAAGAAGAGATAGAAATATCAATGATGAGAGAGAATCATTGATTGGCTACCTTCTGCCTGCCCCCCACTGGGGATTGAGCTCTCAACCTGGCATATGCCCTGACTGGGAATCAAACCATGACCTCCTGGTTCATAGATAGATAGTCAACTACTGAGCCACACCAGCTGGGCTTCCCTTCCTCACTTTGGATTATTTTGAAGCAAATCCCAGACATCATAAAAATTTCACCTGTACATATTTTAGTGTTTCCACAAGATAATGACTCTTTTTAAACAGAACTCCAGTACCATATTATACACTACCAAATTAATAGTAATATATTGATATTATGAAATATTTATAAGCTTTGAATTAGAAGACACGTTTGCCTGTTTCAAGAAATCTATAGATTCAAAATGGTGTTCATTGAAACATTTCCCTCCCACTCTATTCCCATTGGCCTAATTTTCATTGCCTTCAGCAGCTGCTATTTTCTATCCTTCCTGGAAGATTTAATGCACATACAAGCAAATATGTAGATATTAGCCTTATTTTAAAGAAGGTTAATGATATTGACAAGATTTGAACCCAGATTTCCCTGCTCTCAGAGTTTATTATGTTCTCTTATGCTGATCAGGATTTCCATCTTACTCATAGGAGTTGAATAATTATCCAGTTAGAGGAGTTGGGTTAAGAAAAAAAAAGGCTTAACTGATGATCAAAAATAGATCCAGAGACATAGAAGCATCGAACAGACCATCAAACCTCAGAGGAAAGGCAAGGGAGGGTGGGGGAGGAGGGTAACAGTTCAACCAAAGGACTTGTATGTATGCATATAAGCATAATCAATGAATACAGACAGTAGGGGTTGAGGGCACGTACTGTTTAAGTAACATTTAAGTACTTTTTTGTAAGTAAATTTAAACATCTTTTGGAGTCACTGTATAGAGAGGTATGTGTCATCATTCTTAGTGTCTGTGTTGTATTCTGTTGTTTGAATATATCATATTTAATCAGTATGCTGTTAATGAACATGTAGTTATTTCTTTTTGTTATTATAGAAACCACGCCACTGAACATTTATGTACAGCTGTCTTTGTATTATGTAATTGGTTATTTCCTTATGGTAAATTTCCGGTAATAGACCCCATGGCTCAAAGACACACAGATTTAAGGCATAAGTTATTCTAATTTATATTTCCACCAGTAGATATAAGAGAGTGTTTTTCCTTGCATCTACTAAAATTATGTATTTCTATAACTTTATTACTATTTTACCGTTGTTTGGCCTTTCATTTTAAAAGGAGACTGTGGCTGAATAGCTGCTGTCAGGTTAGAAATCATTCCTGTCATGCAGGTGAGGGGCTGGTAGCTTGTTCAGGGCTTTAGAGCTGGTCTCTGTTTTGAACATTTCTTCTTTTGTTCTTTCTTCTGCAGCGGCCCTTCTCAGCATCCCTGGCTTTGTTGAGCGGCTTTGCAAGCTGGCAACTCGAAAGGTATCAGAGTCCACGGGCACAGCCAGCTTCCTTCAGGAGTTGGAGGAGTGGTACACATGGCTCGACAATGCTTTGGTGCTAGATGCTCTGATGCGAGTGGCTAATGAGGAATCAGAGCACAGTCAAGGTACTTGGAGTGGGTCTCCTGCGAGGTGGATTCCTGAAGCCATGCTTGACCTCTTTTCCAAAGAGGATAAATTGAAATTTGCTCAAACTAGAATTTTTCCTCAGGGAATCCTAGAGCATGATTATTAAGATTATTTTGCTAGCTAGTGACAGAAATCTCTTTGAACTCCCTCTAAGGCAGCAGTTCTCAAGCTGTTGGTCGCGACCCCTTTGGCGGTGGAATGACCCTTTCACAGGGTTGCCTAAGACCACCCTGCATATCAGATATTTACATTATGATTCATAGCAGTAGCAACATTACAGTTATGAAGTAGCAACAAAAATTTATGATTGGGTCACAACATGAGGACCTGTATTTCAAGGGCCAGAAGATTGAGAACCACTGCTCTAAGAGTTCCAGTCTGATTGGAGGGACTATGGCTTGGTAGCACAATCAGAGAGACTGTTTGGCGCCAATAACCAGAGCATTCTTAGGAACCCAAAGAGTTCTTGCTCTATCTTCTTTTTCTTTAGTCTTCTCTTCTTTTTTTCTGATGATTTGGCTGCCTACTAAATGTGTAGGGTTCTAGTCTCAGCTCCAGCTACATGGTGAAGGAGTCTGGCCCATCTTGGGTCATTTGCCCAACCCTGAAGCATTTGACTCTGGCCCACAGGATGGGGTCAGATTGTACAAACCTGGTAATTCTCACTAATCACATGCAGATAAAATTGAAGGGAGGAAAGTCTGGGGTGTTATATGGACCTGCCTCCCCAGGGAAACTATAAACAAAACTTATTTTTTTTAAAAAAGGCATCTAGATTAGGAAGTAGTAAAACTATATTTATAGATGACATGATCTTTTCTATAGAAAGACCTAAAGAATTCACTAAAAAACCACTAAACTAGTAAATGAGTTCAACGAAGATATAAGCTTAATTTCAAGATATGAGCTCAATACACAGAAATTAATTCTATTTCTCTACAGTAGCAATTAACAAACTAAGAGACCTAAGTAAATGGAAAGACATCTCATGTCTTGTGTTTATGGATCAGAAGACTCAGTATTTTTAAGGTAGCAGTATTCCCCATCTTGATCTACAGATCCATCTGCAGATTCAATCCAATTCCTGTCAGAATCCCAGCTGGCTTCTTTGCAGAAGTGGACTAGCTGGTCCTAAAATTCTATGGAAAAGCAACGGTTCCAGAAACACCAAAACAATCTTGGAAGAAAACAAAATCGGGAGAGTCACACTTCATAATTTCAAAACTTAACTGCAGAGCATCAGGAATCAACAGTGTGCTACCAGCATAAACAGAGACACACTAGTATAATGAAATAGAATTGAGAGTTCAGAAATAAACCCTCACTTAATATGGTCAATTGATTTTCAACAAGAATTCTAAGACCATTCAGTTTGGGAAACAGTAGGTAGTCTTTTACACAAATGGTGCCAGAGCCATTAGTTATCCACATGCAAAAGAATGAAGTTGAAACCCCCTACTTCACATCATATGTAAAAATTAACTCAAAGCCATCAAAGACTTAAATATATGAGCTGAATTTATAAAACCCTTAGAAGAAAACATAGAATTAAATCTTCATGACCTTGGATTTGGCAATGTTTTCTTAGATGCCATCTAAAGCACAAGCAACAAAATTAAAAATAAATAAATTGAACTTCATTAAAATGAAAACCTTTCTTCAAAAAAAAACCCACCATCAGGCCCTGACCAGTGTCTCAGTGGTTAGAGCACTGGCCTGTGCACTGAAGGGTTGCAGGTTCGATTCCCAGTCAAGGGCACGTATCTGGGTTGCAGGTTTGATTGTATGCCAGAGGCAACCAATCAGTGTGTGTCTCTCACATTGATGTTTTTTTCTCTCTCTTTCTCTCTCACCTCTCTGCTCTCCTCTTTTTCCCCCTCCTCCACCTCTCCTCCCTTCTGGTCTCTCTAAAAATCAATGGAAAAAATATTCTCTGGTGAGGATTAAAAAACAAACAGACACTATCAGGAAAGTGAAAAGACAACCCACAGAATGGAAAAACTTTTTTTTTAATATATTTTTATTGATTTCAGAGAGGAAGGGAGAGGGAGAGGGAGACAGAAACATCAATGATGAGAGAGAATCATCAGTCGGCTGCCTCCTGCACGCCCCCCACTGGGAATCAAGCCTGCAACCCGGGCATATGCCCTTGACCGGAATAGAATCAGGGACCCTTCAGTCCACAGGCCGATGTTCTATCCACTGAGCCAAACCGGCTAGGGCTGGAAAAATATTTTTGAGGGTAGAGAACATTTTTATAAACCATATAGCTAATAAGGGACTTGAATTTAGAATATGTAAGGAGCTCCTACAGCAGTGATGGTGAACCTATGAAATGCTGACACGCCGAGCTCAAAAGGTTCGCCATCACTGTCCTACAGCTTAGTAATAAAGAAGCAACCCATTTCACAATGTGGGGAAAGGATCTGAATAGATATTTCTCTAGAGAAAATATATAGATAGCCAATAAGTACATAAAAAGATACTTTAACATCATTAGTCAGTGGGGAAATGCAAATTTAAACTGCAATAAGATACCACTTCACACCCATTAAGATGCTTATCAAAACGACAGATGATAACAAGTGTTGGCAAGGAGCTCTAGCCAGTTTGGCTCAGTGGATAGAACGTCGGCCTGTGGACTGAAGGGTCCCTGGTTCGATTCTGGTCAAGGGCATATGCCCAGCTTGCAGGCTTGATCCCCAGTAGCCGGTGTGCAGGAGGCAGCCAATCAATGATTCTCTCTCATCATTGATGTTTCTCTCCCTCTTCCTTCCTTTCTGAAATCAATAAAAATATATTTAAAACACACACACAAACAAAAACAAGTGTTGGCAAGGATATGGAGAAATCAGAACTCTCATTCCCTGTTTGGGGCATGTAAAATACTGCAGCCATTTTGGAAACAGTCTGGCAGTTCCTCAAAAGGTTAAACATAAGAGTTATCATATTACCAGAAAGTCCATTCCTAGGTACTCAAGAGAAATGAAAACATATGTTTACAAAAGAACTTATACATGAATATTCATAGCAACAGATTTATAATAGCCAAAACATGAATCTATCCAACTGTCCATCAACTGCTGGAAAACAGAATATGATATATGATAGAATATTGTTCAGCAGTTTAAAAAATGAAATACTGATACATGGTACAACCTGAATGAACCTTGAAAACGCTGGGCTAAGGGAAAGAAGCCAACAAAAGAGCACATGTTGTATGATTCCATTTATACAAAATGTCCTGACTGAGCAAATCCATGGAAACAGAAAGTAATTTAATGGATGCCTAGGGCTGAGGAGTTGGAAAATGGCGAGTGGCTGCTAATGAGTGTAGGATTTCTTTTGGGGGTAATGAAAATGCTCTAAAATTGATTGTGTTGATGGCTGTACAACTCTGAATATACTAAAAACCACTGAATTGTACATTTTAAATGGGTGAGTTGTATAGTATGAATTATTCATCAACCCAAGTACCTATTCTGTGCTGGGGCTGGAAAGAGGGTGTGTTGGCCACTTTAATCAGTTTGGTGGAGCTTAAGAGATTGGAGGGAAGTGCAGGCCTCTTAAACTAGTTTTCCCGCCCTCGTCATTGGGACTTACCTTATTATTAAGCTCTGGCTATTACTTTGGGGACTGTTTCTTGAAAATACCTATCCTAGGGGCTCTTACCAACCTGGCACCAAAGGTTGGCAGTGACTTGGGGAAGAACCTGAGCTGCCTGTGTCTCTTTCTCCACGGGCGTTTATTACTGAGAAGGACTTGTATGCCATATGCTACACCTGCTCCTTCCAGAGACATCCTCTCCTCAGGCACCCCCAGGACTCCCTGAGCTAGGTGATGAGGATACGAGGCTTTCAAGGCCACACAAGCGTACAGCAGAGGCAGGAATCTACATGATAGCTCTTTAGATTCTTTTCACAGATTAGTTGACTCTTAAATTGTTCCAGGAGATGGGCCAAGGTATCCCAACGTAGAAATTGAGTATAGGAGGTCCTCGGGTTACGTCGGAGATTATGATGCGACGTAACGCGATTTCGCCAAAGGTTGGAACCCACCTACATAAGCACCTACGTCATTCACATGGAGCACATACACAGCAGTAATGAAGTGAAACAGTAAAAAACAATTAAAAGAAAGGCAATTCCTGACCTTTACTTGTGGTAAATAAATAATAAAAAACATAAAGCACAGATATACATATGTCGAAATAACGGAACTTTTTTTTTATAAATGGAGATGGCGACGTAACTACGAAACAACGTACCACGAAACAACATACGTTAAGTTCGACCTAACCCGAGGACTGTCTGTAATTATGGTTTTTCTTCCAATCTGCAGAAAAATATATGAGAATAAAATAGAATTTTCTCAGATTTTCTCCAGTAAATTTTTCTTAAGTCTTTGCCCACTGTAACTTTAGTTGTCATTAAAAGCTTTCACATTGCCCAGCTGGAATGGCTCAGTTGGTTGAGCGTCGTCCTCTTTACCAAAAGGTTGCCAGTTAGATTCCTGGGTTGCAGATTAAATCCCCGGTTGGGGCATGTGTGGAAGGCAAAGGATTGATGTTCCTCTCTCTCTCTTTCTCTCCCCTCTCCCCCTCCCTTCTTCTCTCTAAGTATGTCTTTGGATGAAGATTTAAAAAAGAAGAGCTTGCAGATTAAAAAGGAAAAAAAATGTAGCGAGCAAGCATCAGTTTGTTTGTTATTTCTATTTAACGTATGTGTGCCGGGCATTGTTTTAAGCACTTCCAATATATTAAATCCTTTAACCTTTGCCACATTGGTAAGAGATAGGTACTATTGCCATTATCTCTGTTTTACAGATGAGGATGGATAGGGGAGCATAGCGACATCAATAAATTTATCCAAGGCTAGCCACCCAGCTAGTGAATGGTAGAGCTCAGGTCCAGACCCAGCATTCTGGCCCCAGAGTCTTCTGTTAACAATCATCCTTCATTCAGCAACTGGTCTTCTTCAGAATTATAATTTTGTATTATTGACATAATATGGCTGGAAAAAATAGTTTCAGTGTATAGGGTAGAGTAGGTTAGGTTTTTATATCATGATATCAACATGCAGAAATCACCGTGTCTTCTGCATTCATCTTGCCTGAATATATCTGATGTCCAACCACTGCTCTGTACCATGCGTTTTTCAGTCCAATAGGAGCTTGAAAGGACCTTAGTAAGTAGTTCCTGACTCACCTTTTCACATTTAAAACGAGGGCAACTGATGGGAAGTAACGCCTAAGGTCTCCTGACTCTGACCAGTGACCTTTTAAAATAACAGGGACCTAAGAGTGGGGCTTCCCAAGAATCAGGTGGTGGGGTGTTCTTGTGTTCTTATTCAATCCTCAGTCACCCTGGCCATCCACTGTGGCACTACAGTTATTCCCAGTTTACAGAGCTGTCTAAGGCCTAGTGAGGGGGTGAGTTGCCCAGCCAGCAGGTTGTAATTCCAGAGCCATCAGTCTTTATCACTTCGCTCTACCACCTTCCCAACACTACGCTCCTCTGTGACCTGCGTGACCCATGGAGACTTTTCATTAATTGGGTCATAGAAAAAATTAGGTGGTTTACCTGAAGCCCAAAACACAGTACCTGGAACATATCAAACGATAAATACTACGTAGTTGCTGCTGCTGTTACTAACAATGAAATTGGGTGAAATGATAATCTGCTAGTAGAGAATATGTTTATCTGTATCACTAGCAGCAATTGTGATGCCCAGGCTGCCTTAGAAAGATGAACCTTAGAAAAGTTTAGAAGGTTCTTTCAAAAATGGGTGGGAAAATCTTCAAAAAGAATTCCTCCCAGTTTTCGGCAGTACCCCTTTGTGGAATCTAGGTAGAGAGGGACCAACTGCTCCGAGTCATTTTTGACCTGAGGAGGGTGTGACCCAATTTGCTGCTAAACCTCTGTCTGGGCACTTTTGGGGGCGGTGGGGAAGTTGGGGGGCATTTGATGGTGCCAGGAGAAAGGAATATGTGGGATCACGTTACTGCATTGGCTGTGTCAGAACCTTTTTAGTGTATGTTAAAGTTGGTGAGCTGGAACTGCAGAGTCTATTTTCCTAAGTTCCTAAACTTGCCTGTCCTCTGGGGGCCTGGAGGGGTTTTGTGGCTTTCAAATTCTATGTCAGGGTCTCAGGGCCCAGGGTAAGGGCTACAGGTTTGAGGGACAGAAACATGTTTCCTCACAGGCAGTGACTCAACCCTCTCTCCTGGTGGCTGTCTCAGCCTCCATTGTGTTCTCTCCTCCAGGGGCTTCTGAGGAGAACGGCCTGCCTCACACTTCAGCTCGGACGCAGTTGCCCCAGTCCATGAAGATTATGCACGAGATCATGTACAAACTGGAAGTGCTCTATGTCCTCTGTGTGCTGCTGATGGGGCGTCAGCGAAACCAGGTGGGCCTCTCCCCCACATCTCAGGCAGGAGTCGGACGCCAGTGCTTCCTGGGCGCTGTGGTACGCCGCGTACTCCACGAGGCTGCCTCTCAGTATGGTTCTCTAGCCCGGCAAGCATTAGGTTTGATTTCCTTTTCTCTGAGGAAACCAGTCTGATTCCAGAGCTCACAGTCTTTCCTCTGTACTTTGCTGTGGGCAGCATTTCTAGGCAAAGCATTGGTGCCCTGCAGAAGAGACAGTTTAGCTATGTTACCTGACCTTGACATGAAGAATAAATGGTCAGTGACTGGCAAGATGACTGCTCTGTCAATGCACTGGTGGACTTGCCAGTCTGATGGGGGCTAGCGGTGGTGGGCCAGAGCTCAGCACTGTGTCACATTATGAAAACTGGGCAGCTACCAGGGGACTCCAGGTGTGCTGGGGTTCCCTAAACCTTCAAGTAGTTCCAGGAGGGAGGAGCAAGGGTCCGTAACCTACAAAGGGAGATAGAGGGTCTTGGAAGTATGCAGCATCTTCTTTAAGGTAGAGAAGGAGCCCTCTCCTGCTAGCTGCATTATTCTAGGGATGAAACGAGGCATAGGGGAGGGGGAGTAAAGGTGAGTGGAGGCTGTGCTCACTGGTCCTTTCATACCTTTTGATTCAGACACCGGACCATCACCCACCTCTGTGTGAGACAGGTGCAGTTTCCCCGTTGTACATGTAAGGAACAATTCTAGATGGTGTAGACGGGGAAACTCACTGAAGGGGGACATCTGGCATGGCATTGTCCTGAAGAAAGAGGGGAGCCAAGCATGCGGACCCCCAAGGCAGCCTGCCTGGTAGAGGGACCAAGCCCCTGAGGTGGGAGCATGCCTGGTGGGTTGGGAGACCAATAAGGAAACGGGAGGCTAGGGGCATGGGGGTGGACTAGAAAAGCAATGAGGAGAGGAGGGCTGAGGGGTTGCACGGAGCCAGATTGCATCAGCTTTCATAGACCACGTTAAGGACTTTGGTGTTTTGCTCTGAGTGAAATGGGAAGCTGACCCTGTGGCTGCTGTGTGAAAGATGACAGCTAAGACCTGCATAAGGTGGTGGGTGTCATGAGGAACACTTGCATTCTAGATCTGTTTTGAAGGTAAAACAGGTAGGATTTGCTGATAGTTTGGATGTAGGCATAAAAGAGAAGAGTTGAGTATGTCTTCCTTAATTCCTTCCAAAGTTTTTGGCCAAAGAAGGGGGAGGATGGATTTGCCATTTACTGAAATGGCTAAGGTGGTGAGGAGTGGAAGGGTAGGCATAGGGAAGAAGGTGAGCAGTACAGTTTGACCAAGTTAGGTGTGAGGTGTCTATTAGAATCCACACTTGGAGTTAGGGGAGAGGCCAGCACTAGAGGTATCACTTTGGGGGTCATCAGCATATAGGTGGTATTTAAAAACCAGGATCTCATTGGGTGAGATCCCACCCTGACATCCACAGCACTGGGGCTCCTTCCTTCAGCATGGGATAGTATTTGTTATAAAAAGTAATAGTCATAATGTCTTACATATACTAAGTGCTTTACTTTTTTGAGGTACTTTCACAGTTATTTATGTTTGAATTTTCAGGTATTTGGTAACTTATACAACATGTGGTGACCCCTTTTTCTCCCTTACTTGATGCTTGAGAAAACCAAGGTAGACAAAGGGCCCTGCTCTCAGGTGCCAAGCATCGGTAGAGGCAGGATTTAAATTGCTGCCCTGACTCTTCTGCCCCAAACATAGCAATTCCCTGCTTCCTGAGCCTTCCTGTTACCAAGTTTCTGTGAGTCACGTGGTCTTTAGTTAAACTGTGATTACACTGCTTCCTGGGTGGGACCATCAGCTGGTCTTGGAATCCAGCCCAACCGAGAGCCAGTGCTCTGCTGGCTCGTCCTTTGCACAATCAGCAGTTACTGAGCGCCTGCTGTGTGACAGGCCCTGTGGGCACATGGGCTCACAGACCCTGCCTAGACCAGGATAGCAAGGGGAAGGGTTTCCTTGGCAAGGCCCAAGAGTGGCCTTCTTCTTGTGCTTTTGGGCCAAGTTCTGTGACTGGTCTTGGGTAAATTGAATCATTAGACTTGAGGAAATGCTCTCCACATCCATAAATTCCATCCCCCGTTCATCATCATGAATGTAATCAATAGAGCAGTCTTTTTCTTCTTCTTTTTCAGCACATCCTGTAAGTCAGGCCCTGAGCTTCCCCTATATTACTTCATCGAGTCCTTTCAACAATTCATTTCCCATCAAGAGACTCGGCTCAAAGAAGAACACTGCCCAGAGTCACAGAGCTTTGTCAGATTCTGGTGTCCCCTGATAAATATGCCTGTGGTGGGCTGGGAAGGGGCAGGCTTTAGGATCAGGACACCTGAGTTAGGGTGGCATCTTCACCACTGCCTTGCCCAGGGCAGTCCTGCTGAACTCCCATTTCCCCTTGTAAAGAGGGAATTAATGAGCACTGTTGCTGTGCTCAAGTATTTACATATCTATTCTGACTTTATTTATATAACAGCCTTGAAAAGAGGTAATAATAGCTTCATTTTGTGTTATGTGAAAAATTACTTTTAGTAGTTGAATAATTCATATAGTTCAATGTTGGAAAGTAGTTCTAGCCCAGCCTGTGTGGCTCAGTGGTTGAGCATTGACCCATGAACTAAGAGGTCACCAGTTCGATTCTGGTCAGGGCACATGCCCTGGTTACAGGCTCAATCCCCAGTAAAGGGCGTGCAGGAAGCAGCTGATCAAAATTCTCTCTCATCATTGATATTTCTGTCTCTCTCCCTCCCCTTCCTCTCTGATAGCAATAAAAATATGTTGTTGTTTTTAAAAAGGTAGTTCTATATTAAACGGATAAATAATATCAGTGAAGGCTTTCTCCCCTCTGATCCTAAACATTCTGATTCTTCCATAAGCATCTAATTTTACCAGTTATTAATGTATCCTTTTAGATTCTGTACTTATAAAAGCAATATATTCCTCTCATTTTTTACATAATAATATAGCATGTGCACACTTGCTTTTTTAATATTATGTTTTGATGAATGTGCAATTCACAAGTTAAAAAACCTTCATTCTATGTTACTGGTGTCAAGTATCCCATTAAGTGAATGTACCATAATTTATGTAACTATTCCCCGATGATGGAGGTATAGGTTATGTCTATTTTGGTATTACAGATAATGTTGCCATGAGTAAGTTTGTACATGTGCCATTTAGTATTTATATGTATTTGTCTTTGTATAAATTCCTAAAAGAATTGCTGGTCAAAGGGAATATGCATTTGTAATTTTTAGGGATACTACAAACTGTCCTTCCTCTCCAGGTAGTACCAGTGCCCTCCCACCAGCAGGGTAGGAGCATGCCTGAGGCCCAGCTCACCAACACAGGATTATAAAACTTTTATTCTTTGCCAGTCTAAAAAAGTACAAAATTAGGTGTTTGAATTTCTCTTAATATTCTAAGTGAGGCTGAGCACTTTGCATATATTGAAGAACCTTTTATGTTTTTCTGTCTGTATCGTATGCCCATTTTTTCTGTAGGGTTGGTGTTTTTGTTTTAGAGATTTGTAGGATTCCTTATAGAGGAAATTAGCTTTTTGCCTGAGTGTGACACAAGATTTTGAGTATGGTCCCATCTGTCATATTTAACTTGTGGCTTTCCTTACTGTGAGTTTTGCCATGCAGAATTTTAAAAGGTTTGTGTGGTTGAATTCAACACTCTTCTATGCTTCTAGGTTTGGAATACTGCTTTAGGAAGTCTTTCTCAGTGTCATTTTTAAAGCTTTTGCAGCCCTTCCTGCCTTGGCTTAGTGGATAGAGCATGGGCCCGAGTTTAAATTGCTGCCCTGACTGAAGGGTTCCGGGTTTGATGTTGGTCAAGGGCACATACCTCAGTTGCAGGCTTGATCCCTAGCCCCAGTCAGGGTGCATGCAGGAGGCAACCAATCGATGACACATCGATGTTTCTCTGTCTCTCCCCCTCCCTCCCACTCTCTCTAAAAAAATGAATGGAAAAAATATCCTCAGGTGAGGATTAACAACAACAACAAACAAAGCTTTTGCGTAAATTTTTCTAGGATTCTTAGAGTTTCATTTTATTATATTTTTATCTTGCCTCCACTTGAAATTTATCCTACTATGAAGCATGAGTGGCATTTTTATTTTAATGACTAGAGTCCCCGTGCATGGATTTGTGCACTGAGGTGGGGGAGGGACTGAGGGAGGTTGGCTGGCAGGCTCCTATCAGGCAATCTGTGCTGGCCGGCCAGGGGGAGGTTGGCTGTGGGAGCACACTGACCACCAGGGGGCAGCCCCTGCATTAAGCATCTGCCCCCTGGTGGTCAGTGTGCATCATAGCGACCAGTCATTAAGTCCTAATGGTTGCTTAGGCTTTTATATATACTAGAGGCCCGTTGCACAAAAATTTGTGCACTCGGTGGGGAGGGAGGGTCCCTCAGCCCAGCCTATGCCCTCTCGCAGTCTGGGACCCCTCGGGAGATAACGACCTGCTGGCTTAGGCCTGCTCCCGGGTGGCAGAGGGCAGGCCCAAACCCTAGGTGCAGCCCCTGGTCGGGCTCAGAGCAGGGCCAATTGGGGAGTTGGGGCACTGCCCCCTGTCATGCACAGAGCAGGACGGATCGGGAGGTTGCGATGCCACACTCAGTCACACTCAGGGTAGGGCCGATTGGGGGGTTGGGGCACTGCCCCCTATCACACTCAAGGCAGGGTCGATGGGGAGGTTGCGGCACCACCCCCTGTCACGCACAGAGCAGGGCATATCAGGGGGTTGGGGCGCCGCCACTGTCACACTCAGGGCAGGGCCGATGGGGAGGTTATGGCTCTACCCCGTCACACACAGAGCAGGGCTGATCAGGGGGTTTGAGCGCTGCCCCCTGTCATGCTGATTCCGGTGCCGGGAGGCCCTGCGGCTCCGCTGATCGCGGTGCTGGGAGGCATATTACCCTTTTACTATATAGCATAGAGGCCTGGTGCACAGGTGGGGGCCGGCTGGTTTGCCATGAAGGGTGTCCTGGATCAGGGTGGGGGTCCCCACTGGGATGCCTGGCCAGTCTGGGTGAGGGGCTGAGGGCTGTTTTCAGGCTGGGGGGGATTGAAGCTCCCAACCGCTCCTTTTTTCCCTTTTTTTCTTTTTTCCTTTTTTTATTCTGGGCCAGCTTTAGCTCTGAGGCTCCAGCTCTTAGGCCTCCACTGCTGAAAGCAGGTTTCTGGTTTGTTTAGGTTCTATAATCGAAACTCTGTATCAACTCCAGCTCTGAGATCCCAGCTCACTGAAAGCAGGTTTCTGGGGTTTTGTTTAGCTTCTATATTTGTTACAATGTTTCTTAAACTGCAAGCTCAGAGGCCGGTAAGGCAGGCGGGGAACGTTGGTTTCCTCCGTCACTGAAGCAAGCAAGCCTCATGTTAGTTTCAAGCTGCCTGGCTGCCGGCTGCCATCTTGGCTGGCAGTTAATTTGCACATCTTGCTGATTAGCCAATGGGAAGGGTAGCAGTCGTACACCAATTACCATGTTTCTCTTTTATTAGATAGGGTAGATATGCAGAGGCAGGGAATAAATCAGAAAGGTTAAGGAATTTGCTTACAGTTACACAGTTTGGAGGTGGTGGAGTTGAGAGACAAACCCAGGGCTATCTGAGTCCAGAACGCATGGTCTTAAAAGAGGTCCTATTGTACAGTGTTACTCCTAGGATATTGTGAGAATTAATGAGCAGGGTAGGGAATGTGTGGATGTTTTCTGTAAGCCACAACACTCCCTACTGACTGTTGCTTTCTTTGTTCTGAAGATTGTTATTATACCAGCACTAGGCTTTGCTACATCTTTTCCTCACATTAGTTTTAAAATGCTTTTGCCTTCCAACACCATCCAGGTTCACAGGATGATCGCAGAGTTCAAGCTGATCCCGGGGCTTAATAACTTGTTTGACAAGCTGATTTGGAGGAAGCATTCAGCATCTGCCCTTGTCCTCCATGGTCACAACCAGAACTGCGACTGTAGCCCGGTGAGCAAGGGACCCTGGGGACAGATAGGCTTTATTTGCCAGGAGTAGTTGTTTCAAGACCTGCTCTTGACCCTTTGAAATCTCAGTCTTTGAGAGTAGAGCAGAAACTTCCAGTCATAACCTATTAATCCCATAACTGGAATCTACCTTGGGAAGGGACCTGACCCCACCCCTCCACCTATGCAGAAGTCCCTCTTGGCCTCCTCTTGCTTCCCTTTATATGCCTTGGGGGTGGGGGGGCTCACTTCCCTCGAGGCAGGGCCACCCACTACATTATCTAACAAGATTGTCCTCATTCTGTGCTCTGCTGCACTATAATTATATCCACTGATAGTTTTGCCTCCAAGAACCACACACCGCCTATGCTCTGCATCCAAAAAGGGATTTAGGATGCTTTCCTTTTTTAAGGGACTAAGGCAGCCGTGGGCAAACTACGGCCCGCGGGCCGGATCCGTCCCGTTTGAAATGAATAAAACTAAAAAAAAAAAGACCGTACCTTTTATGTAATGATGTTTACTTTGAATTTATATTAGTTCACACAAACACTCCATCCATGCTTTTGTTCCGGCCCTCCGGTCCAGTTTAAGAACCCATTGTGGCCCTCGAGTCAAAAAGTTGGCCCACCCCTGGTAAGGGCTCTCCGCTACCTTGTCTCTGTCACAGTACCCTGGAGCAAGCAATGAACTGGGCGTTGGGGGGCCTGTTGTGCCACATAGCTTGTTGGGAGAGCTTGAACCAGTCACTGAATCTCTGAGCCTCTGTTTCTTGCAAAAGTAAGATCACTCTTCCTTCCCTGCTGGCCTCACAGGCCACATGGAGGCTCAGCCACCAGCAGGAGGATTAAAGTGCTCTGGGACCTTAAAGTGCACAAAACTGTCAGGGTCTAGTGCCATGGCTCCCCTTTGGTCCCTGCACTGTGTTCTGAGGGTTTTCCTCCGTGCCTTATCTTCCTGTTCACCATATTTCTCTCTGGTCTTGTTGGAGTTGCCTTTCAGCCCATCCATCTGATGTTTTAATTTCAAGTGAATATATTCGGCATTTCTAGACATTCTGTCAAAAATTACTTGATTTTTATTCAGATCATGTTAATGTTTTCTTCTGTTGCATTTTACCTCTTTTTAATTATTTGTAACATACATGTTTGTGGTCTCTTTCAGATTGTTCTTGGGGTACTAATACTTGTGTTTGAGTCTTCAAACTCAACTTTGGGTAGAGTCTTGCCTCGGGCTCTGTAATGTACGGAGAGGTCACCTTTGGGGGGGGCGGGGGGCGGGGGGGGGCACGTGTTGTTTTCCCTCTTGAGTACCTGCGTAGCCTGGGCCCTGGGAGTGATTAATAAGCACTTTGCTTTGTCTGCCAGGTACTTCAGAGGCTGTTCTCCTGGGGCTCTCTCACCAGCAGCAGCCTGGCAGAGAAACCCTTCTTTTGCCAAATGTATGCACTTCCCAGGCTTTATGTGGGCCCACAGCTCTGTCTGGTCCCACAGGGCATTAAAACCCAAACCCTGGCCTAGATGAGTCTCATTTTCACTTCTCCACCATCAGCGCTGTGCTCAGAGCTCTGAACTCAGTCCTTCATTTCTGAGTTCTATGGATTTTCCTTTCTTTCTTTTGAAATTAGCCTCATATTTAAAAGAATTTCAGTTACTTTTTTTTATTGATTTTTTACAGAGAGGAAAGGAGAGAGAAAGAGAGTTAGAAACATTGATGAGAGAGAAACATCGATCAGCTGCCTCCTGCATACCTCCCACTGGGGATGTGCCCGCAACCCAAGGTACATGCCCTTGACCGGAATCGAACCCGGGGCCTTTCAGTCCGCAGGCCGACGCTCTATCCACTTAGCCAAACCGGTTTGGCAGAATTTCAGTTACTTTTTAATCCAGTATGTTGGGGTATTTTTAGCAAGAAGAGTCCACATTAGCTTAATCTGCAATTGTCCAGGCATGGAAGACAACAAAGGGTTTTCTGACTCAAGTCCTCATTGTGCATGAGGACAGAGGCTCAGAGAAGCAAAGCAATATGCCCAGGCTCTCACCAGAGTGTTTGCTTTCTTTGGAACATTGTGACCATGGTTTTAACATCAAGCTGCACATCTATTTTAGGACATCACCTTGAAGATACAGTTTCTGAGGCTTCTCCAGAGTTTCAGCGACCACCACGAGTAAGTACGAGCTGTCCCTGGAAGGAGAGTTGTTGCTCTGTATTCTCTCCTCTCTTTGTCCCATCGCTGACCCCGGCTCAGGAGGAGGACCTGGGAGCCGGGACAGCCGCTGTCACCACAGTGGCTGCACTTCATGATACTGTAATAAGAGCTGCCAGTTGTCCTGCCCTTCCTTTATGCCAGGCACTGCTTTGAGCTTTCCCTTAGTCCTCACTGCCACCCTAGGGAGTGAGGCAGGAGTTGTTAGCCTCTTATTACCCTTTTTTGCTGGTACAGGGTCTTGACTTCAATTTGTTTAAAAAAGCAACCTCTGTGAAGCACACTAAAACGAGGTATGCCTTTAAAATGATGAGTTTCGTTTGGACATGTTGGGGGGAAGTGCCTTTAAGAAATCAAGTAGAACGTTCAGTGCAAAGAAAGGCCTGGGATGCTAAGGGAAGAGAACTTGTTAGTGAATGTGGCAGGCAGAGGGGTGGGAATTGGGGCCAGGGAGACTCCATGCCTCCCTCTGTGCCTGCTCAGGGGGTACAAGGTGTTGGGGAAGGGTACTTGGGGGATTCTTAGATCCACCCTCTCTACAGGAAAAGGGCAGGGGACTACCCAGTGCTGACCTGGCAGCCCCAGTCCTGTCCTTAAGCTCCCTGCAACCCATTTGTTTCAGGAACAAGTACCTCCTGCTCAACAACCAGGAGCTGAATGAACTCAGTGCCATCTCTCTCAAGGCCAACATCCCCGAGGTGGAAGCCGTCCTCAACACTGACAGGTGAGCATGGATGGGGTACGGCTTTGGCCCACAGCCCACCCTTGGCTGCTTGTGTGCCCTGGGACACACAGATGGGTTCACGCAGGTATGCAGACATGTCCTTACATGTAGCTGCAGTGTCCTAAAGGCTCCTGTGTGTAAGACATTGTTCTTACGTCACCTGCATTATATCAGTGGAGCCCCACAGCAGCCCTAGGAAGGAAGTGTCTTCATCACCTCCACTTTACAGATGGGGGAGCAGGATCTTGGAGAGGTCACCTGACAAAGGTCATGTATGCCCTGCTCCTCCCCTTGCTCTCACCTTTGCTGACATCCTCCTTGATTGCATGGTGGCAGTTGCAGCCAAGCAGGACAAACAGAAGCAGCCCCCTCAACCTCATCAAAGTCCCATTTGCTGGGTTATGCTTACCTCATCATCTGGTTCTGGGCAAGGAGGTCACAGGCTCATAGGGTCAGGGCAAAGGAGGACTATATCCAGCAACACGAGTCATAATCCTCAGGTTTTTTGTTGTTGTTGTTGTTGTTGTTTAAGGGAACAGAACTCTTGTTCAAGTGAAATCATAGTCTCACCCTAATGTCTGTAGTGGATAAAGTAGAGCTTCCTTATTTGAAGAGAACATTTGAGAGTCACAAACTCCTGCCTGCTGCTCCTTTTTTCCCCATGATGAGGCCTGAGTCATTTTCTCAGAGGCACGGGTACTTGTTCAAGGCTGGCTGCAGCTGAGCCAGGGGCTCAGGGTACTCCCTGTCTTACCCTGTTGGCACAGACTTTGCCCCATCTGGTATATCCTGTCATGGCCTGTTCGCAACCCATGTTTGGTGTAAATAACCCTTCTTCCAGTAGATCTGAGCCCTGTCTGATTATTGAATGTGTTTCTGGCCTTTGATCACTTGCCAGTGGGTCTGAGAATGGAAAGGTGGCCTGAGATAAAGTGTGAATGCACTTGGCTATTCAGTTCTAAGACTGTAGGGGGCCATGGGACGCTCTGGGCACAGGTAGAGCAAAAGGGCAACCTGCAGCCTGGAAATGTCCCCTTGTTTCTCCCCACCTAAGTCAGTGGGAAGACCAGTCTCAGTGCCCCTGTTAGCTTCTCAGATCTGCCACCGATGTCCCTCTCTATTTTATTTTAAACTAGAGGCCCAGTGCACGAATTCATGCACCACTGGGGTCCCTCAGCCTGGCCTGGGAGATTGGGCGGAAACCGGCTCTCCAACATCCCCTGAGGGGTCCTGGATTGCGAGGGACCACACTGGTGCACAATTGGGGCCAGGGAAGGACACAGGAGGTTGGCCAGCTGGGGTGGGACCACAGGAGGGCTCCAGGGCATGTCCGGCCCATCTCGTTCAGTCTCGATTGGCTGGACCCCAGCAGCAAGCTAACCTACTGGTCAGAGCGTCTGCCCCCTGGTGGTCAGTGCACATCATAGCGACTGGTTGACCAGTCAACTGTCTGCCCCTGGTGGTCAGTACATGTCCTAGCGAGCAGTTGAGCAGCCTTAGCATATCATTAGCATATTATGCTTTGATTGGTTGAACGGCATATTAGGCTTTTATTATATAGGATTTTTTCAGTATAAAATGGTTATTTTCAGCATTTAATTTTGCATTTAAGTGTTTTAGCTGTTACATATTGGGTGTAGATTTTTTGAAATCATTCTTTAATTTTGTAATTAAAGTTGACATATATTAGTGTATATCCCATTGATTAGACCTTATATAACTTAAGTGAGCATCCTGATATATCTTGTACCCATTTGACACCATACATAATTATTAGAATATTATTGACTATCCTATATAATAAAGAGGTAATATGCAAATTGACCATCACTCCAACACACAAGATGGCCACCCCCATGTGGACACAAGATGGCCAGCAGGGGAGGACAGTTGTGGGCAATCAGGCCAGCAGGGGAAGGACCAGGCCTGAGAGGGAGGGCAGTTTTGGGTGATCACACACACACACCCCATGCACGAATTTCGTGCACTGGGCCTCTAGTATTTCTTATACTGTACTTTACATCCCTGTAACTATTCTGTAACTATCAATTTGTACTTCTTAATTGCTTCACCTTTTCACCCATTTCCCTAACCCCATCCCCATCTGGTAACCATCAAAATATTCTCTGTATCTATGAGTCTGTTTCTGTTGTGCTGCTTTGTATATTTTGTTTTTTAGTTTTTTTTTTAGATTCAGTTGTTGATAGATATGTATTTATTGCCGTTTTATTCATATTTTTTATCTTTTTTTTCCTTCTTCTTAAAGAAGACCCTTTTACATTTTATTTGATACTGGTTTGATGGTGATGAACTCCTTTAACTTTTTCTTGTCTGGGAAGCTCTTTATCCTTTGACTCTAAATAGTAACTTTGCTGGGTAGAATAATCTTGGTTGTAGGTCCTTGCTTTTCATCAATTTGAATATTTTTGCCATTCCTTCTGTCCTGCAAATTTTCTGTTGAGAAATCAGCTGACAGTCTTAAGGGAGCTCCCTTGTAAGTAACTAAGTGCTTTTCTCTTGCTGCTTTTAAGTTTCTCTCTATGTCCTTAACCTTTTGCATTTTAATTATGATATGTGTTGGTGTGGGCCTCTTTGGGTTCGTCTTGTTTGAGTTTCTGCACTTCCTGGACTTGTATGTTTATTTCCTTCACCAAGTTAGGGAAATTTTCTGTCATTATCTTTTAAAATAGATGTTCAATTTCTTGCTCTCTCTCTTCTCCGTCTGGTACCCCCATGATGCAAATGTTGGTACACTTGAAGTTGTCCTAGAGGCTCCTTACACTAGCTTCATTTTTTTGGATTCTTTTTTCTTCTTGCTGATTGGGTATTTTTTGCTTCATTATATTTCAAATCACTGATTTGATTCTCGGCTTCATCAACTCTATTGTTGATTCCCTATAAATTAATATTTCATTTCAGTTAGTGTATCCTTCATTTCTGACTGGTTCTTTTTTATGGTTTCCATGTCCTTTTTTATGCTGTTGAAGTTCTCACTAAGTTCATTGAGCCTCCTTATAACCAGTTTTTTGAACTCTGCATCTTGCTTGTTTCTGTTTTGTTCAATTCTTTTTCTGGAGTTTGGTTCTTTTCTTTCATTTAGAACATGTTTCTTTGTCTCCTCATTTTGGCACCTCCCTGTGTTGGTTTCTATATATTAGCTAGAGTTGCTACGTCTCCCAAGCTTGGTAGAGTGGCCTAATGTAGTAAGTGTTCTGTACTAGGCGTACGAGTTAATAATGCGGATTTTTTTCAATAGATAGAGTTACACATATGTTATATATATGCGATTTAATAGGTATGCTATTTTGTTGTATTGACAGCAAGCTTCAGAACTTCATATGTCAAATTTTCTGAAGGGGTTAACATCATAGATATTTTGACGCTTAAAAATGTCAAATTTTGTGCCAAGAAAAGAGAGCATTTGCGGGAAGTTTTAATTCATTGCTTTATTTTGAAGAAAAGTGCTGCTGAAAGACAAATGGAAAACTGAAAAGTCATCAGTAAAGTGTTGCTTCAATGGCACAAAAGAAAGTCTTTTTTGCATCGAATTGTGACTGGCGATGAAAAGTGGATTTATTTTGAGAATCCCAAACGTACAAAATCATGGATTGATCCAGGTTAACCATCAACATCGACTGCAAGGCCAAATCTCTTTGGAAAGAAGACAGTGTTCTGCGTTTGGTGGAATTAGGAAGTTGTGGTGTAGTATGAGCTTCTAAAAACCAGGTAAAACCGTTAATACTGATCGCTACCGACAACAAATCAATTTGAACCACGCTTTAATCGTGAAACGACCAGAATGTGCCAGAAAACACGGCAAAGTAATTTTGCTTCATGATAACACACCATCACCCACTTCAAAACCAGTTAAAGACACGTTAAAAGATCTTGCCTGGGAAATATTAACCCACCCGCCGTATTCACCAGACCTTGCTCCTTCAGATGACCACTTGTTCTGATCGATGGCACATGCACTTTCTGAGCAGTACTTCAAAACGTGCGAAGAAGTGGAAAATTGGGTCTCTGAATGGTTTGCCTTAAAACAAGAAAAGTTCTATTGGGACGGTATCCACAAATTACCTGAAAGATAGGGGAAATGTGTAGCTAGTGATGGACATTACTTTGAGTAAAGCACTTTTGATGTTTCTCTTTAAATTATCGTGTTTTCTGTGATTACAAAATCCGCATTATTAACCAGTACGCCTGGTAGTGTCCAGTGGCACAGCCTGCCTATTTACCTGAGCTGGGTACTCTGTGTGCAACTCCTGTGTGGGCTGTGAACCCCCTCCATTGTAGTTGAGCCTTGCTTGCTGTTAGCATGTCAAGGGGAGAGATTTAGCCCCTGGCCAATCAGCTGCAAGGAATGGAGGATCAGCTGTGCAGGGGCCCTCCCTATGGAGCAGGACTTACTTTAGCAGGGCTGTGGTGCCTACTGAGTCCACCCCTTGAGTGTGTCACTTGTGGAGATGGTTGGGTGGTGCTTTGACGTGGTCTGAAGCTGTCTACTGAGTGCGATAGCTCTGGGACCTCCCGCAAGGTGCAGGCCAAGGTCAGCTGCCACCTGTGTTCTGACTGGGGCCTCCTGATATGAGCTACAAAGCAATGTGCAGATGGCTGCTACTTGTACTGGACTTAGAAGTGCCCAGGAAAGGCCAAGCTATGAACCAAGGCCAACTGTAACTAGTGCTGGACCTGGGGTCACTTAGCTAGAGGTAGGGGGCACACCAAGGCCAGATGCTGCTTGTTTCAGAGATTTAGGAAAGTCTGAGACATAATCCAAGACAGCCCATTTGAATAGAAAAGCCATTGGAAAGAGCTTGGGTGGGCCTGAAAGTTGGGTGGGGCCTCAGGGAATCACCAGGTGGGATGAACAGTGTTAGCCAGGTTGATGGAGACTCTGATATGGTGCCTGCCTGCTGGCTCTGTGGAGAAAGGGCTCAGAAAAAGAATCATAGCTTCTGCCAGCACTTCTGTCTGGAATAAAGCTACCCCTCCAGCCCTTACCATGTTGCCAGACAATTCAATTCCTCCCTGTATGTCCCTGGTGCCTTGCGAGCTGCTGCCCCAGCATTGGAGCTGAGAGGGAGTGAGTCTGAGTAAGTCTATGCATGGGCCCTTTAAGAGGAACTGCCTTGGACTCCAGCAGTCCTCTGTCTCACTCAGCCATAATTCTGACTGTTTTTTACAGCTGGAAGTTGTGGGGACTTCTCTTCCTGGTACTGAAACCCTGGGCTGGAAGGGCCTCACTCCTCAAGGGACCTCTGCAGCTGAGATATCCCTCCTGATTTTTGTCTGCTCCATGTGGGTGTCTCCACCCCTTCTTCCAGTCTGTGTGTGGCTGCACCTTCAAATTCCTAGTTGTAGGACTTCCATTCAGCCAGATTTTAGGCAGTTCTGAATGATGGCTGTTCTGTAGTTTAGTTGTAATTTTGATATAGTTGTGGGAGAATGCTAGTACTATGTGTACTTATGCTGCCATCTTGACTGGAAGCTTGTGTCTTTGTCTATTTTATTTCAGGAGTTTGGTGTGTGATGGGAAGAGGGGCTTATTAACTCGTCTGCTGCAGGTCATGAAAAAGGAGCCAGCTGAGTCATCTTTCAGGTGGGTCTGGGGACAGGCACCTGTCACTCTTGAGGGGCCCAGGAGCCATGTGTTTCTCAAGTGGTTAGAAATACCTCCTTTAGGCACCAGCTTCCACTCCAACATCTGGTTACTATGAGGGAAAAGGGGTTTGATTGCCATTTTCCCTGTGTGGCTTAGCAGGTTTGTATTAACTTTTGCTGCATGCCAGCAGTGTATTTCAAGAATTGACCAAGCATTCACCAACTACCTATTCTATGCTGGGCTGGAAAGGTGGAAGAGAAAAGCAAATACAGTCCCTGCCCCATGGATCCCTGGCATGTGGGAAACAAGCATGAAAAGAATCTTGTTTCAATGCAGTGTGGAAAGCACGAGCCCAGGGCCTGCCCCAGGAGCTGTGGGGACAAAGGAAAACCTTTTCCCCAACGAGCTGGTGGGGTGGGCATGGACAGGGACGTGGGCATGGACAGAGAGGGCTTCTCAGCGTTCCTTAGACTCACCGAGTCCTGAAGGCTATGGACAGGAGTAGTGGGAGGCCTTCCATCAGGGCTGGCAGGGAGCTGGCAGTAAGCTCCATGCCCAAATGTGCCCCTGTCTATTCTGTCTGCCCAGTAGGCTTAAACTCAGTGGCCCGTTCACACATGTCCATCAGGTTCCCTCACGCATCTCTGGCACCCCTCTCTTCCATGTCCTCCTGTCCTTCTGAACGGACAAAGGCTAGAGTGGCATTTTCATGTTACTGGGGCTAGCCCTTCTCTGAGACACAAACCCCTTCCAGACAGAACAAAATAGAAGACTGTTCCTCACCATGCTGTCAGCTCCATGAAGCTGGGGACTCTTGCTGTGTCCCTAGTGCCTAGTAGAAGCCTGATGCCTGATAGATGGTCTATAAATGTTGAATATGTGAAAAGTCAGCAACATCTCCCAGTACCGTGGGGAATGGAACATGGGCCAGAAGAGGGCAGCCTTAGCCACCTGGGCCAGGGGTCAACATTTGGGTCGCAGGTTTTGGCAAGCCCGGGCTGTGGAGAGTTTCCTCCGAGGGACCACCTCCTATGCAGACCAGATGTACCTTCTGGAGGTAATGGCCTGGAGGAGCCAGGGTGTTGGGTGTCCCATTCTTTCCCCAGCCCCATGCGTTGCTTTCCTGTCCTGAGACCTAGAAAGCTGGGCAGGAGGTACTGGATCTATTTTAAATGCCAGTGCAGATTGCCTTGGTATGTGCCCTGAGTCTCCAACCGTGGGTCCATGATGGGTGCTTCCCAGATGATTGGAGGAGCATAAGCATCTGCAGAGTCACCCAGCAAGGCCTTTTGACCCTGAGGATATGTTGCTGCTGACTAAAAGTTTATTTCCCTTTATTGAAAAATGGCCTTCAGAAAAAGCTTACAAAAGAGGGGGAGCAAAATGGCCAAAACTATAATTGATTTAAAAAAGATATATGAACAAGAAACTGACCTGGCAATTATTGTAAAATCTATATGGAAAATAATTTATCCAAATCAGTGTAACTTCAGGAAAAAGAAAATGAAAAATGGAAACAATCTAACTGTCATAGAGAACCTTATCAAAGAGATAAATTGGCTTTTTGTTCTTGATAAACATTTATTTTAATGTAAATGTTTTCATTCATAAACATAAATACTAACCATAGGGTCAAAATGTGCCTCCTGTGCTTAAAGCCGGTGCTTCATTTATTTGAGTGGCCTCAGGTGCTCGGGCAGTGGCCAGTGTTACATCTGGAGACACCTCCCCTCGCTGGCAAGCTCGAGAGCCCTGGCCATCTTGGTGCCCACAGAGCAGGTCACTGGCTTTAGTTCTGAACTGTGGGCAAGCCAGAGAGGTCATGGCTACATACCCCAACCCACCCCCACTTCCTGGGAAGTGTCGGTCCTGGTCCTGCCCTCGGAGCCACCAGCATCCTCAGATAAGCGTCTAGATAGGGAAAGCAGGTTTCATTGACCTGGATGCTTTCTCAAAGCAGATGTTGTATGGTCTGAGCTACATGCCAGGCCCTGGTGGGAAGCCGGTAGCTTAGAAGAGTGCGGCCTGGGGGTGGCAGCCACACCTGCCTGTGGGCCCCAGAGCTCAGCTGCCTTCCTGCCTTCATCTGTCATTCCCCACCCCCAGCACATCTTGTACTGCATCGTGGACAGCGAGTGCAAGTCCAGGGATGTGCTGCAGAGCTACTTCGACCTCCTGGGGGAGCTAATGAAGTTCAATGTTGATGCATTCAAGAGATTCAATAAGTACATCAACACTGATGCAAAGGTAAGACTAACAGGGCGCTGTGGGGTTTGCTCTATTGTTCAGAAGTTACCTTGGAGCCCTTGTCCTCACCAGTCTCTGGTACTGGTTTTAAATTGGAGACTACTAGTATTAGGGAGTCAATGGACAGCCTTGAGCAGGCAGTTATTAGCGTCTTTGTGCTGGGCATTAAAGTGTCAGCTGCTTGTGAGCAGGTGTGATGGTTGGGAGCGGGTTGTCTGTGAAAACGGCTCAGTGTGGTGGGTGCCATGATGAGCTCCAGCTAGATGGGCTGGGCCTAGTGTGTTAGGCTCAGAGGGTGTGTGTGACAGAAACCCAGGTCAGACTAATGAAGTAAAAATGAGGAGTTTGGCATCCTTCCTTCAGTGGAGAAAACACTGGACGTGGTGTGAAAAGATCTGGGGTAGCCCTGCTGGGGCAGGTCAGTCAGCTTGTCTGCGCCTCTGTTTACTGGTGACAACTGGGCAGAGGTAGGTCAGTGCCCTTGCAGTGACTCCACCACTGCAGGCGCCTGCCATCTCCCGTCTGAGCCTTGTCTCCCCACTAAGTTCCAGGTGTTCCTGAAGCAGATCAACAGCTCGCTGGTGGACTCCAACATGCTGGTGCGCTGCGTCACTTTGTCACTGGACCGATTTGAGAATCAGGTGGACATGAAAGGTAAGAAAAGGCCAGAACACCCATGCAAATGCATCCAGTGTGGCCTCGCTGGTGTCAGACACCCAGCTTTCAGCAAGGAGACAAGAAAGGCTGGAAGAAGCCCCACCAAACATTCTTGTGGCTGGGGTCAAGGTGGTGGCTCTCTGGGTGATTTTCTTTGCTGCTTTTACTTTCCTCTATGGTTCATGCTTCCTTTACTGAGCATGTACAACATTGTAATAAGGTGAGAAACATGGTTGCCACTAGCATGCATAAACAGTCTTCCTCTCCTGGGCTGCGATTGCCTGGGATGAGGGGACCCAGGTGGTGACACCAGGGGGAAGGCCTCGGGGAGAGGTGGTCCCTGAACACGGGGGCTTGGGTGGCAGAAGAACGGGAGATTGTTCCTGCTGCAGTCAACCTTTTCGTTCGTTGTCTTGACAGTAGGGGCTCCCAGCTTCAGAGTCAGGTCCCATAGGGCTTGACTAGGGATTAGGTGGCAGCCCCGGCCTGAGCCACAGACCAGCGTCTAAGCCTGCTGCTCACACCTCTGCCTCTCCGTCCCCAGTTGCCGAGGTCCTGTCCGAGTGCCGCCTGCTCGCCTACATATCCCAGGTGCCCACGCAGATGTCCTTCCTCTTCCGCCTCATCAACATCATCCACGTGCAGACGCTGACACAGGTGAGAGGCCCTGCAGGCGTGCGGTGCAGGAAGAGTCCCGGAGCCCAGCAGAGCTGCTCTCTCCCACACGAGGAGTGCACCTCCCTGAGGCCCATCTCAGTTCCTCCCAGGGATTCTGAGGATTTTTTTCCCAATAAGGAATCTGCCCCATTTTATAGATGAGGCCTGAAGAGGGAGCAAATCTCTGAGATCACAGACGAGTTGGGGAGGAGTCAGGGTTGACACTTAGTTCTGACTCCTAGTTCAGTGCTCGCCCCACCCCACTTCTGTGCAGGCTTTGGGCTTGGACCTGACGTTAACTCCCACTTCCCTCACCTGTGCAGTCCTCAGTCTCTGGGCTTCATGCCCCTTCTCTAAAATGGGGTCATATTAATACCTCTCAGAGGTGGATCTTTTATTCCTTCATCTGACATTTATTGAGGCGAGGCCCTGGGCTCAGGATGCAAAGTAAAAAAACAGGCCTAGACTTTTCCCTCCTGGTGCTCAGTCTAGTGCCAAGTGAAAGTTAGCAAAGGAGATGCTGCATCTAAGGTGTATGCCCAGCCCTCCCCAGGGATTGAAGCTTCTGGAAGAAGCAATGCCTGAGCTGATTGAGGAGACTGGGAAGACTCAAACTCAGGGGTCCTCAAACTATGGCCCGCAGGCCACATGCAAATACAAATATTGTATTTGTCCCCGTTTTGTTTTTTAATTCAAAATAAGATATGTGCAGTGTGCATAGGAATTTGTTCATAGTTTTTTTTTTTAACTATAGTCTGGCCCTCCAACGGTCTGAGGGACAGTGAACTGGCCCCCTGTTTAAAAAGTTTGAGGACCCCTGCTCTAACTAGACAGATGATGGATGGTGTTCCTTCAGAGGCTGGGGGGTGGTGGGGGGCAGGGGGCGGGGAGCAGGGACCGGGAAGGTGCTCAGGGCAGGATGCTGGCATCACTCCTTGCCCCAGCCCTCCCTCAGGTTTATGCAGGGGCAGCGCAGTGTGGTCTCAGGGTTCTGCAGGGTCTGGCTTGGGCCACCGCCTTCCCTGGCCAGTAGCAACCCAGGTCCACCAGGGGCTGCTGGGGCCTTGCAGGAGAACGTCAGTTGCCTCAACACCAGCCTAGTGATCCTGATGCTGGCCCGACGGAAAGAGCGGCTGCCCCTGTACCTGCGGCTGCTTCAGCGGATGGAGCACAACAAGAAGTATCCCGGCTTCCTGCTCAACAACTTCCACAACCTGCTGCGCTTCTGGCAGCAGCACTACCTGCACAAGGACAAGGACAGCACCTGCCTGGAGAACGTGAGTGCCCCCCCAACTGGTGGTGGGTGGGCTGCGGGCACGCAGACCCAGGGCCCCTCAGAGGGCTGTTCGGGGTGCATGGTCCCTGCCTGGGTCATGTGGTGGGCAGCTCTTTGTCCCCTTACCATGGCCCTCCCCGCGGGGTGCTGGGCTCGACCTGGGTCCTCCAGGCACCCCCCAGCCCCTCTCTCTTTGCCCAGAGCTCCTGCATCAGCTTCTCATACTGGAAAGAGACCGTGTCCATCCTGTTGAACCCAGACCGCCAATCACCCTCTGCCCTTGTCAGCTACATGGAGGAGCCCTACATGGACATAGACAGGGACTTCACTGAGGAGTGACCTTGGGCCAGGCAGTCCCTGGGAGGCTGCTGGGCCAGGGCCAGTGCGGGTGAGCGTGGGTATGAGTGCCATACGCCCTGCCATGTCTCCACCCCTCCCCTGCCTTCCTGCTGCTCTCTGCCTGCCCCAGGTCTTCAGATACAGGCTTGGTGGGAGTGTCTAGAAGCCCTTGGGTCTGAGGGCCCAAGGTCATTGGGGAACCTTAGTTCCTTCAAGATCCCCATGATGAGGACAGGGGCACTATGCCCACCCTTCCTTCACAAACTTGGGGCCCTGGCCCACTCAGAGGTAAGGGGACTTTTAAAAATAGTTCTGTCTGAGCTCCTGCCCAGTCTCTTGGCCATCAGTCCTGGGTTGGGGAGGGAGGTATAGGACCCTCCCCCAATCTGTGAGCCAAGCTTGCCCTGGGCTTTGGACCCAGGCTTCTGAGCCCTGGGCAGGGGTGGGGGATACCAGAGAATGCTACCTTTCCCCAAGCCTGCCCATCTGTCCCTCCCTCGTTTTCCTTTAGTTACTCTGGTTCTGTGTGCTCTTTGGCCACTGTGTTCGTCCCAAGGGGTGTCCCCAGAAGGGAGGGACCTTTCCCTTCCATCCCTTGGGACATGGGGTGGCTGTGTCTTGCCCCCTTATGCCCCAGGGCAGCATCTCCTACCTGAGCCCAGACACATAGGAGCCTGCCTGGGAGCAGAGCCTTGGCCCCTCCTTGTGTTGCCAATTTATTAACAACAAATAAACCGATTAAATGGAGACTATTAAAGAACTTTATTTTAAATGATTGATGTGGACCTGACTTTTGTCTGTGGGACCGTGTGCTCCCCTCCCCTCCTGAGTCCCAAAGAATGAGAAGGCAGCAGGCTGGAGCTGTAGATGTGGCATTTATTCAGGTTTTAGCAGGTGAAGAGAGGTTGAGGGGGCGGACAGCAGGCATCATTCCTTGTGCTGAGGGGGAAAAGGGTGGCTCAGTGAACTATACCCTTGCAAAGGGCAAGGTGGTGCCCCAGGCTACCCCTTACCTTAGGGCCCAGGGCATCCCGAGTCCGTGCCCGCAGCTTGTTGGCCTGGGTTTCTGCTATGTCTGCCCGCTCCTCCGCATCATCCAACTCGTGCTGGGCCTTGCGATACTTGGCCAGGTTAGTGTTTGCCTGTTGCTCCTGGGGGCACAGACAGGCTGGGTCACCCTTTGGTAACCAAGATGGTCAGTCTGGTCCCACCCCATCGCAGAAAGGGTCTGGCTTCCCTTTGTCTTCCACTGTGCTCCCACCACCACTATCCATGTTCCATCTACCCCCTCACCAGCACCCACAGCAGGAAGGAAGGGGTTGTGACACCTCTTCAGGTACCCATGTGCCAGACCTGGGCCAGAAGGGGAAGGCACATAGGGTCCCTTCAGAGACAAAGCTGGGTCTCATCTCTTTTTTTTTTTTTTTTTTTTTTAATTTTTGTTGGTGTGGGTGCCGATCTGGGTGCACAGAGCTCGGTTTCCGGGGACATCGGCGTGTGCTGTGATGGTGCTGGGGCTGCGGTAGGGGGTTTTATTTTTTTTTTTTTTTTTTTTTTTTTAAATATATTTTATTGATTTTTTACAGAGAGGAAGGGAGAAGAATAGAGAGTTAGAAACATCAATGAGAGAGAAACATTGATAAGCTGACTTCTGCACATTCCCTACTAGGTATGTTCCTGCAACCAAGGTACATGCCCTTGACCAGAATCGAACCCAGGACCCTTGAGTCTGCAGGCTGACACTCTATCCACTGAGCCAAACTGGTCAGGGCTGGGTCTCATCTCTTGTCAGAGCTGTGAGAAACACTTCCTGCTGGGACAGGGGCATCACGAGCTAGGTCACTGCCCATGAAGGCAGCCTGCCTGCCCACAAAGCCAACACTGGGAAGGCACGTCCCAGAGGTGGAGTAGGGCTGACAGCTGCTGGCCTCTTGCCTGGGGCCAGCTTTGAGTTGGGTTCCACAGGCGTCCTGACCCGGCAGGACCTGACCCCCAGGGTCCAGACCCAGTACACTCACCGCTTCCTCAAATTGCCGTTTGTAGCTCTTGACCTTGCTCTGCAGCTTTTCCACCAGGTCCTGCATGCGAGCCAGGTTCTTCCTGTCCTCCTCGGCCTGCGCATGTAGAGGGGCTCAGGTCTGGCCCGGACCAGACCAGCCTTCGGGCCGCCCCTTTAGAGGTGGACCTGTCACTCACCTGGTACGCAAGCTCCTTGACCCGGCGCTCATGTTTCCGCACCCCCTTGAGGGCCTCGGCATGCTTCTTCTGCTCGGCATCCAGCTCAGCCTCCAGCTCCCGCACCTGTGAGCGGCAGATGGGCCTGATGCCCTGAGCCTGCCCCCGCACTGCCCACTGTGCAGGGGAAGGGATGGGGACGCCACACGCACCTTGGCCTCCAGCTTCTGCACCTGCTTCTTCCCACCTCGGAGGGCAGCTTGTTCCGCCTCCTCGAGCCGTGCCTGTAGCTCCCGCACCGTCTGCTCCAGTGTCTTCTTCATCCGTTCCAGGTGTGCGCTTGTGTCCTGCTCCTTCTTCAGCTCCTCGGCCATCATGGCTGCCTGTCCGGGGTGAGATGGATGGTCGGGGTGACTGGCCCCAGTGGAAGTCCCTTTGGGCTCTGTCCCCTCCGCAGCTCCGGCCCAGCCTCACGTCAGTGATGGCCTTTTTGGCCTTCTCCTCAGCTTCCCGCCTCTCCTGGGCAGCCTCCTCCACCTCTCCGCTCAGCTGGGCCAAGTCCACCTCCAGCTTCTTTTTCTGGTTCAGGAGGCCAGTGTTCTGGGGGGAAGCAGAGCCTCAGAGTCGGCCAGTAGGCAGCCACCCTACGCATCCCTGTGAATTGCTGCCCTCACCTGTGAATGCAGGAGGTTGAGGCGCTCGGTGGCCTCCAGCAGCTCCTGCTCTGCAAGCCGCCGGCTGCGCTCGCCCTGCTCCAGTGCAGCCCGCAGCTCTTCCAGCTCCGTAGCCAGCAGCACGCCCCGTCGCTCCAGGGCCTGTGCCTGCTCCCGGAGCTCCGCTGCCAGCCGCTGCTCCTCGTCCCTCCCCGCCTGCTCCTCCTTGAGTTGGGCCTGTAGCAGCCGTGTGGCTGCCTGTGCCTCCGTGGCCTGGCGGGTGGCGTGGCCCAGCTGCAGCTCCAGGTCATTGAGGTCACCCTCCATCTTCTTCTTGAGCCGCAGTGCCTCATTGCGGGCCCGTGTCTCTGCATCCAGGGAGGCCTGCAGGGACTCCACGGCCCGCTGGTGGTTGCGTCTGGGGGAGGGAGAAGGTAGTGGTGTCTGGGCCATCGAAAGCAGGCAGGGCCAAAACCGGTTTGGCTCAGTGGATAGAGCGTCAGCCTGCGGACTGAAAGGTCCCAGGTTCGATTCCGGTCAAGGGCATGTACCTGGGTTGCGGGCACATCCCCAGTGGGAGGTGTGCAGGAGGCAGCAGAAAGCAGGCAGGCACAGCACCACACCTGCTCTTACAAATGTCCAAGGAGCGCTGGAGACATGAACCCATTTTGGGAATAAGGAACATCCCTCCCCGATTTCAAGCCCCATGTGACTTCCTGTTCCCCATCAGAGCAAGTTCACAGACAAGAGTGAAGCTCTGGAGCAGACAGATGTTGGCTGAACTCTGGCTCCACCCTGACTGTGTCCCTTGAGCAAGTCCTATAGGCTCTGAGGTTCACCTCAGACTGAACAATAATCCTGACCTGAGAAAGCTTTGTGCGAGGCACAAACTACTGTCCCTGCCAATCTGTGTGCCCAGCAGGGGCTCAGCAAACCCTGCTTTCCTCCCCTTTTCCCACTCAGGTGGCTGGGCTGGGAGGGGCAATTATCCTTGAGAAGACAGGTGGACCCCTGGGAGTGGTGGTGGGTAGTGATGGCCCTGGCCCCCATACCTCAGGTTAGTGCACTCCTCGTCCTTCTCTGCCAGCTTCCGGTCCACTTCCGCCTTGACCTGGGATAGCTCCAGCTGGATCCGCAGGGTCTTGGTCTCCTCCAGCTCCAGAGCCCCCTGGGGTGCGGAGTAGACAGTGTGGGCCTCGGGGCCCTGAGTGTGTCTTAAGGGAGGAGGGAGACCAGGGAAGCAGTGGGTCAGTGTCCACCCCACCCCTGTGGCCAGCCCCTGACCTCGGCCTCCTCCAGTGTGGCCTGGAGCTCACTCTTCTCCCCTTCCAGCGCCTTCTTGGCTTTCTCCAGTTCCTGGATGCTCTTCCCACTGAGGCTGACATGGTCTGTGAGGTCACTGATCTCCTCTGCAAAGTGGACAGGGCACTGAGGGGCCACCTCAAAGCTCATGCTCCAAGCCAGGCCGCATCATTCACCCCTAGCTCCAGGGTGACGGCTCCGGGACACCCTATGTGGCTCCAGGGGCTCCCAGGGCCCCAGAGCCGTTCTCTGACCCTGGGCTGGCCGTACCCTGCAGGTTCTTGTTCTCCCGCTTGAAGGTCTCCAGGGCCTCGAGAGCTTCCTCGTGGCTGTGCCGCAGCCGGAAGAGCTCAGTGCCCAGGCTGCGAGCCTCCCTCTGGGCTGCCTCTAGCTCCCGTTGTGTCTCCTCCTCCTGCCGCCGCCGCTCCTCCAGTGCCCGCTCCAAGTGCCGCTGCTTCTTGTCCAGCGCGGCAGCTGCCGAGGTTGCCCGCTCCAGTTCCAGGGTCACATCCTCTGACTCCGTCTGCAGCCGCAGCTTGGCCTTCTCCAGTGATGAGCACTTGGCGTGTGCGGCCTCTACACCCTCCTCTGCCTCCTGCAGCCTCAGGGCCAGCTTCTTTCTAGGCCCCAGAGCAGACAGGGTAGCAGACTGTGTAGCAGATCACGGCTGACAGAAGCATGGCCCCCACACCTCTCCCATCACCTCCCATCAGGGCTCAGGGGCCCGGGTCACCTGTGTGGTGATGGCCTGGCCAGAAAGGCACTTACTTGGCCTCCTCCAGCTCCTCGGTCCTCTGGATGGCATCTGCCTCATACTTGCTCCTCCACTGGGCCACCTCCGCGTTGGCCTTGGACAGCAGCCGCTGCAACTCGGCCTGTGCCTCGGCCTCCTCCTCATGCTGCTCTCGCAGGAGGTCACAGTCATGCCGCAAAGCCTGCACGGCGTGGGCCAGCGCATTCTTGGCCTGTAGGGACCCCAGTGACCTAAGTGTCAGGCCTGGCCAAAGGCCCTGATGCCCACACTGCCCTCTCTGTGCCAGCCAGTGGCCAAGCCCACCTTGCTCTCCTCCTCCAACTGCCTCCGCAGCTCCTCCAAGCTCTGAGTGGCCGAGGCCTTCCCACGGCTCAGCTGGCTAATCAGAGACTCCTTCTCCTCAAGCAGGCGGCTCAGCTCCCCTGCAGCCAAGGGATGAAGCAGCACGTCAGGCTGGCAAGGGGGAGCACTGAGGCCCCGGGATGGCCCATCGGAGCCCCTGACCTCACCGTTCTCCGTCTGCAGCCGTCCACGCTGGGTGCTCGTGTCCGCCAGCTGCCGTTGCAGCTCCTCCACCTTGATCTTGGTCTCACTCAGCTGATCCTCATAGGTCCGGCACAACTTCTCTGCACTGGCCTGAGACCCAGGGTCAGAGGTCAGGACAAGTTTGTGAATCAGAGGACAGGATCTATGACTGCCAATCAGACAGGGACCTGGGATGGGGAACTAGAAGGCTAGACATGGGCCCAGGAATCAAAGAGAGAACAGGGCCCCAAGTTCAGACAGATTCCACTATTGCTTCAAAGATGAACATCAGAAGTGAGAAGGTAGCCCTGGCCGGGTAGCTCAGAGCACCATCCCAATATACCAAGGTTGTGGGTTCGACCT